ACTCTGACAGACGCGGAGAGTTCTCCTCTGGCCTTCTGCGAGCCTACTGACGTGCACGAGGCATCCGCCAGACCTTCACGCTTCCGGACTCTCCACAACAAAATGGGATTGCTGAGCGCTGCATTGGCATGGTCATGGACGTTGCCCGTACGTCCATGATGCATGTGGCTGCCCCCCATTTTCTATGGCCGTTTGCGGTTCGGTACGCGGCGCATCAGATCAACCTTCACCCCAGGGTCTCCAGGCCGGAGACCTCCCCAACTTTGCTGTGGACGGGGAAGGTTGGCGATGCGTCTGCGTTCCGTGTCTGGGGATCTCGGGCGTTTGTCCGCGACTTGTCTGCGGACAAGCTGTCTCCTCGTGCTGCTCCTTGCGTCTTCCTTGGCTTCCCCCCTTACGCGCCAGGGTGGCAGTTCTACCACCCCACCTCCCGCCGTGTTTTGTCCTCCCACGACGTCACGTTTGACGAGTCGGTCCCCTACTACCGCCTCTTCCCCTACCGCACTCCGTCCCTCCACCCGCCACCGCTCTTCCTTGTGCCAGGTCCCCCCCCGGTAGACCCCCTCCCCCCTCAGGGTCCTGCCCCTTCAGGTGTGTCCTAGGTAGACGCAGTCGAGACTGTAGAGGTTACTGGTGACTCTGGTGCTGCTGAGGGTGCTGAGCCTGGGGGTGCTGACTCTAGGGGTGCTGAGCGTGTAGGTGCTACGCCTGGGGATGATGAGCTTGAAGGTGCTACTACTGGGGGTGCTGAGCCTGGGGGTGCTGAGCCCGGGGGTGCTACTGCTAGGGGTGCTGAGCCTGGAGGTGCTGAGCCTCGGGGTGATGAGCCTGGGGGTGCTGAGCCTGGGGGTACTACGCCTAGACGTGCTGAGCCTGGGGGTGCGGAGCCTAAGGGAGCTGGGCCTACTCGTGTGGCGTCTGGCGGTGCTGGGCCTGGAGGTTCTCCGGGTGCTTCGTCTCGGCGGGAGCCACTCTCTCCACAGGAGCTACGCTAGTTGTTTGCCCGGCGCTGGAGGCGTGCTGCTGGAGCTAGAGGTTCTTCGGCTGCTGAGGGTGCTGGTGCCGCGGGTCCCGGAGGTGCTCGTACTGGGAGTACTGGAGCTGCTGGGCCTGCGGGTACGACTGGAGCTGGAGCTGCTGAGGGTGTTGGCGCTGGGGCTACTGCTGTCGGTCCTGGAGGCGGTCCTGTTGGGGGTACTAGTGGTGCTGCTGGAGGTACTGGAGTTGGAGGTGCTGCTGGCGCAAGTGCTGCCGCTGGGGGTACTAGTGCTGTCCCTGCTGTGTGTAGAGTCTCCGCGCGGCCTCGGGCGTACTTCGTTCCGCTCCTTCAGCAGGTTCTTGGTCTCCCGCCTTCTACTGGTCCTCCTCCTCCCTTAGAGTGTCCACAGCTTGTCCCGTCACAGTTACAGTTACAGCTTGCCTCCCAACTGCCTGCTCCTTCTCCCTACACTGGTCCTACTGGAGGTCTTGCTGAGCGTCGTGAGCCTGCGTCTCGCCCTGCGTCGCCTGTCCGTGCTGCTTGCACTGGTGGTCGTGGTTCGCGCCAGCGTCCTCCTCCTGTCCCTGGCACGCACCGGAGGTCTCTGCGTCCGTCCACTGCTCCTCTGCGTGCCCCTTTGCCTTCTCCTCACGAGTCCTCTCTTCCTACTGTTCCCGACCCGGAGTTGGACTCTCTTCGTGCTGCCAGTCCTACTGTCACGCGTCTCCTTGCTACTGTCATCACTGACCCTTCCTTTGAGTCCACTGCTGCGTTTGCCCTAGTTGCTGAGCTCGTCGACTTTGCTGCTCGCTATCGTCTAGACTACGCTGCTAGTCTTGTCGCTGAGTCTGAGTCTGTCTGTTCTCCGTCCGTCGAGGGTGAGTGTGCCCTTGGCACGGACGTCCTTGAGGACAGACAAGAGGAGTTCCAGTGTTTGGCTGCTGCTTCACCTCATCTCGTGTCCGTACTGCTAGCCCCTGAGGGAGACTCGGATGCACTTGACATCCCGACTCCGCGCTCTTACGTGGAGGCGATAGAGGGTCCCTACTCTTCTCAGTGGTTGGCAGCTATGGACACAGGGATGGCTTCCTCACAGGCACCTACGTTGACGAGGGTCCCCCGCCTGGGGCGAACATCGTCAGTGGCATGTGGATGCTCAGGGTGAAGCGACCGCCGGGTTCTCCGCCTGTCTTCAAGGCGCGTTACGTGGCTCGTGGCTTCAGCCAACAGCAGGGAGTTGACTACTTTCGGACCTTCTCTCCCACCCCGAAGATGACCACTCTTCGGGTACTGCTGCACATAGCTGCTCACCGCAACTACAAGCTGCACTCTCTTGACTTCAGCACTGCTTTTTGCATGGCAGCCTGCACGAGGAGATCTGGCTGCGTCGCCCACCTGGCTTCACTTGGTCTTTTCCTCCTGGCACCTAGTGCAGCCTCCGGCAGCCAGTCTACGGTCTCTGCCAGGCACCGCGTAAGTCGCACGACACACTGAGGACTACACTTGCAGCTCTTGGGTTTGCTCCCTCTACGGCCAACCCGTCGCTATTTCTGCGCACCGACACTTCTTTGCCGCCGTTCTACATCCTCGTGTACGTCGACGACTTGGTCTTTGCCACAGCTGACACTGCTGGACTCGCCCACGTGAAGTCCGAGCTGCAGAAGAGACACACGTGCACAGACCTGGGTGAACTGCGCAGCTACCTTGGCTTGCAGATCACTCGGGACAGAGCACGCCGCACCATTACCCTGACTCAGTCACACATGGTGCAGCAGGTCCTTCAGCGCTTCGGCTTCACGTACTCCTCGCCTCAGGCCACTCCTCTGTCCACTCGCCACTCGCTCTCAGCTCTGCCTTCGGATGAGTCCGTAGAGTCGAGTGGCCCGTACCCAGAGCTTGTTGGCTGCCTCATGTACCTGATGACCTGCACACGACCTGACCTTGCATACCCTCTTAGTATTGTCGCACGGTATGTTGGTTTTGGGAGACATAGACCGGAGCATATGGCTGCAGCGAAGAGGGTGTTGCGCTACTTGTGCAGTACGTCAGGCATGGGGCTTGTGCTTGGAGGGCAGAGTCCAGTGGTCCCCACTGGGCATGCAGACGCTTCTTGGGCTGACGACCAGGCTACGCAGCGGTCGTCACAAGGTTACACCTTCAGCCTTGGTTCCGGCTCTGTTACGTGGCGGGCTACTCGCTCGTCTTCTGTTCTCGGCTCCAGTTGTGAGGCTGAGATCTACACAGGAGCCATGGCTGCACAGGAGCTCCGTTGGCTCACCTACCTACCGACTGACCTCGGAGAGCCGCCTCGTTCTCCTCCAGAGCTGTACGTAGACAACAAGGCCATGCTGGCCTTGTGTCGGGAGCTGAGACTGGAGCACAGAATGAAGCACATTGCTCTTCGCTACTTCCTTGCTCGTAAGCTACTACAGCGTGGTCAGCTGTGTCTTGGGTACGTGGCCTTGAGGCCAACACTGCTGATATCTTCACCAAGGCGCTTGCGCCTTGTGATCATAAGTGCTTCCGTACTCAGCTGGGTCTTGTACCTACCTTGCCTCACTTGCTCACCTCTTGACCTTGCTTGTACTGTTACATGTATATACACACCTGCTCTTGCTTGTCTAGCCTTATATATATATGTACTCCTGCATGTGAACTGGCCTTGTGGCCTTGAACTTGTGCTCGGAATGTGTGGTGACTTTGTGATCCACCCTGAGCTTGCTTTGCTTTGCTTTGCTTGACTCGTCTTGTGACCCCTTGTTCTCCCCCACTTTGCCTATGAGGGTGTGTTAGAACATTATAGCTTATACATTTGTGTAGGCTGTAGTGGGGTAGCCCATAAGGGGTACAACCCAATTAGGGTTAGTACTCGTACCCAACTGTTTCATAGTTCAATCATTCCTTGTTTCTTCTCAATACAGTGATCACAATCTAGCATGAGCGCATTTATAGGTATAGATATAATTATCAGAGTGTAACAAGTAAGGCTCACTTCTCCAGTTTTTTTGCTAAGTCCTTAAAATCGTTAAAGCTATGAGATCCTTTCACCGCACATGTTGCAGAACCTGACTTGTGCGGTCCACCCCTATGAGGTGCGGGTGCAATGTGAGCAACTGCATGTTCGAAGCGATTGCTTTTCGCTTTCGCTCTTGCTCCATAAACGCATACTCCCTCAGCCCTCAAGTGGATATCAAGACCAACGTCAGGTCCTTCAACACATGCTTCAAAATATCTGAAGCTTTTAATAAGGCAGCTACGTGGAGGAGTAGAGAGATGATCGTCTGTATTAAAGTGGGAGATTATAGTATATTATGTCAGTAGATCTGCACTGTAGATGTCCGATTGATCCTGGAGAGGGTTACAGGCGCGTTCGCCTGGGGGGTTATGGGCGCACTGACCCGCTACTGAAACAAGCCTTTTTCTCCCTGTGGTCTAGTGGTTGGGATTCTGACATGGTATTAGAGCGGTCTCGGGTTCGATTCCCGGTGTATGCATATGTAGGCCGTTGCCGCTGTGCTTAGTCCTGGGCCTCCCAGTGTGGGGGGGTGTCAGTAGATCTGCAATGTGGATGCCCGATTGATCCTGGAGAGGGTTACAGGCGCGTTCGCCTGGGGGGTTATGGGCGCACTCACCCGCTACTGAAATAAGCCCTTTTATCCCAATGGTCTAGTGGTTGGGATTCTGACATATTGCATTATGATTCAGTCACAATAGAATCATCAGGTTATAATGTCCTAACAATTCTTTCAACAACGAAAAAACAATGATCATTAAGTTTTCTTACGTATCAAATTATAGATAGAATAAACTTCTATTATAGATAAGTATACTCTGTAGCTATGGTGCAAAAGCTACGCAACTCTTCTAGCGTTTTAACGTCAAACCTTTTTTTTTTCGGTCGATCGGATTGATCTGTCTAAATCCGTGTGCTAAATATAAGAAAGAAAGTAAAAAAACTACCAAATGATTCTTACGACCTGCTTAGGTGCTCCACAATCGGGCACGGGGTAAAAGGGCGGACATGCACAGGGCGGGCGCTCATCTGGCGGGGACGGGCGCTGGGCAGGCAAGCGCGTACGGGGTGGAGGCTGGCGGCGCGCAGGGCGGGCGGGCGGGCGTCATCGGGCGGGTGCGGTCGGCACGCGGGGCGGGAGGGCGCGCACGGGGCGGGGGCAGGCGGCGCGTGGAGTGGGCGGGCGCGCACGGGGCTGGGGCCGACCACGTGCGGGGAAGGCGGGCGCGCATGGGGTGGGGGTCGGCCACGGGTGGGGCGGGCGGGCTCGTTCGGGGCGGAAGCCGGCCGCGCGTGGGGAGGGCGGGCGGGCGCAAACGGGGCAGGGCCCGGCCGTGCGCAGGGCAGGTGGGCGCGCGCACGGGGCGGGCGCCAGCCATGCGGGGGGCGGGCAAGCGTGCACGGGGCGGGGGCCGGCCGCGCGTTCTTACTGCTGGTCGCGGGGCGGGCGGGGGCCGGTCGCATGCTGTTATTGCTCATTGCGCGATTTACTGCTACTGGTTGCGCTGTTTACAGCTGTTGGTTGCGCTGTTACTAGTTCTGGTTGCACTGGTACTGCTGCTGATTGCTGCTGCCTGCTCTGTTCATTGTTGCATGCAGTGCTTGCTTCTTTGCTCACAGTTGGTCGTACTGTATGTCGGTGATGCATTGTTGCTGCACTGCTGACTGCACTGCTGGTTGAATCGCTGCACTCTTCATTTGTCGGCTGCATAGTTAAGTGTTTATGTTAACTATTGGCTACCGCACTGCTGGCTGTTCTGCTGGTTGAGCTCCTGGTTGCACTTTTCACTAGTCGACTGCATTAATTGGTTGCACTGTTCACTATTGGTTGCAATTTTTGGTGCACTAGATATTGTTGGTTGCGCTATTGACTGTTTTTTTGTTGTTTTACTAATGGCTTTAGTGTTCACTTTTGGCTGCACTGCTTCACACTTGACTGCACTGATTATTGTTGGCTGGACTGGTCACTGGTTGGCTGCACAGTCTGGTTGCACTGTTCACTATTGTTTGAGCTGCTGACTGCATTGCTGACTCCACTGCACTGCGTTGTAGAGTCCCCAATGTATTTGTTTGACAAGTGTGTTGTTTTGGGTCTGCGTTTTTTTCTTATGGCCCGACTGGGTCAGGCAAAACGTTCACAATGTTTGGATCCATCACCGATATAGCTCTTCATGAAGCTATTTCGAGGTCGTTGGAGCATATCTTCGATCTCAAGGGGAAATTATTGTTAACTGGCCGGTTGGTTGCACTGTTCACTCTTGGTTGCAATTTTTGCTGCACTAGATATTGTTGGTTGCGCTATTTACTGTTTGTTTTGTTGTTTTACTATTGGCTTTACTGTTGGCTGGACTGGTCACTGGTTGGCTGCACAGTTTGGTTGCGCTGTTACTATTGTTTGAACTGCTGACTGCATTTCTGACTCCACTGCACTGCGTTGTAGAGTCGCCAATGATTTGTTTGACATGTGTTGTTTTGGGTCTGCGTTTTTTCTTATGGCCCGACTGGGTCAGGCAAAACATTTACAATGTTTGGATCCATCAACGATATAGCTCTTCATGAAGCTATTTCGAGGTCGTTGGAGCATATCATCGATCTCAAGGGGAAATTATTGTTAACTGGCTGGACATTGGCCATTAAGGTGCGCTCATCTTTCATTTTCAGTTCATCTCAGATTTCAGTGATGGAGATTTGTGTTAATTTGATGTTCATTTTTTTTATGCGTGTTAATGTCAAAAGTGCTGCTTCATGTTCGCAGGCAGTATCTGCGCGTCTTCACGATGTTTGCGTCATTCCCGAACTTCATGTTGTCGTAATGGAGTCTATAGATGAGGAAGAAATACTTATGTCTTATGAACATTATGATAGTTTTTCTATGTCTTATGTTTGGCAAAAAATGCAATTGTTTTTCTTTTTTTCTCTTACGCTGGGCTGTTCGAGCGACTGCCATAAATGCAGTCTCTTCACGTAGCGATACAATCTTCACGATTCGTCTAAATGGCACAAACACGGTATGTGTTGAAGTGCGTAAAGATGATAAAATGACCGAATATTGCATAGATTTGTCAAATATAAGAGGAGTACGGCCTAGGCTTAGTAGCCTAGGCCACAGTAGGACTAGAACGAGGAGGCGCCAAGTACAAGCTAGGAACGTGTGCACGAACAGAATTGAGAAGGGATGATTGAACTAGCAAGCAGCAGGATACAAAAAGCAAACCCTAAGGGGCTGTACTCACTATTGAGTGCCCCACTGCAGGCTACACAAACAACATATTCTGACAAGATTCTCTTAACTTGTCCTTTTTTCCAGACCGCTTCAAAGAAACCCCATGGTGTCCTCAATCTAGTTGATTTGGCTTGAAGCGAAGACTTGAACAAGTCCAAAGCTCAAGGGGAAAGAATGAAAGAGGCTATCATAAGAAAGTCATGTGTTGGGTTGGGCTAGAGTTGAGTGGGCTGGGCTGGGTCAAAGTGGGATAAGCTGGGCTACAGTAGGCTAGGCATGGGCTAAAGTGTACTAGACTAGGCTAGAGTGGGCTGGGTAGGCTAGAGAAAGTTGGGCAAGGCTACAGTAAGCTAGACTGGGCTAGAGTGGGTTGGGCTGGGCTATAGTGGGTCGGGCAGGGCTAGAGGAGGTCGGGCAGGGCTAGAGTGGGTTGGGCAGGGCCAGGGTTGGTTGGTGTCAGAAACTAACCAACAGGAATGATTGCATTGACTAAGAATGAGTGCTAACCCTAATTTGGGTTGTACCCCATATATACGAAGAGTTTAGCTGGGCGAATTGTGGTTACGAAATGTACGAAGCCATCTAATTGGCCAAAACATTTGAGTCAGCGAATGGAACAGGTGGTGCGGGAAACTGGCAAGAGTAATATTTGTGCAATATGGGACTCACGCAACCAAACCTAAGCGTCCCCTAGGCTTTCCTGAGTCAGCGAGTATTGTTTTGAGTTTGGCGAGAAGCTGGGCGAAACCAAACCCCTACACCCCTCAAACACCTCGACTTTCCTACTCAGCTCCCCACCACCCAAGGGTCAACTTTAGTAATCCTGAACAATTTGGGCCTTCAGTTTTAAGCAGATCCCGGAGGCCAAAGCTACTGGCGGTGTGCTGGCTTATTAAAGTACGTGCTGGCTTTAAAGCACGTGCTGACTAAAGTGCTGAAGGTAGGAGATTGTATTCTGGCTGCACGTTATCCAAATGTAGTTTCATTCTACGTAAAACCATTTGATCATCCTTCGTTTGCAGAGCTACATTGAAGGTAACGAGCGGGTGGTAATGGTGCTCACCACTTCGCTTAACATTGGAGAAGCGTTTAGAGCACTTGAATTTTGTGGAAGAGTCAACACGTGCGAGCTGAGATATGCCAAACGGGATGTTCGGCAAAAAGGACCAGTAGCGTCGTTAGGGAACAAAGGGTGGTAGACCACCATAGGGAAAGGGCTGAACCTTCTGAGTCTTAAACCAAACATTTGGGTTATGCTGAATCTATTCCCTAGTCTTCTACGTACAATGCGTGTGCTGCTGTGATTGGTGATATTTCGAACTAAGTGCACTTCTTTTGAACAACTCATGACAACGTTTGAACATTGGACCATTGGCATAATGAGGGGCATACTTGGTCATTGCTTGTATTGTACCATACTGTTAACAGCTGTTTAGGTCTTACCTCCTAAAAGGTGGGGAGAAAAAGAAATGGGGAAGGTTGGCGGCTTTGGGAGTGTGTGTTTAATGCAGTAGGAAATATCGGTCATCGGATAATTTTGACGAATGATCTCAAACTTCATTGTTTGCTAGTGTACTAAAGGGAACTTCTCGTTGGGGCCCTTAAAAGTCAGCGTTTCAAGCGAGTATGCTAAAAGGTACTGATTTTACACAAGGATGCCTACGGGAGTGACATCTAAAACCAGTGGCATCTTACTGTGTGAAATTTCGACAAGGTGGGGAGATGGGGAATAAGAGAGGCAAAACAACAAGGAGCCAGGGAGGCAGGGAAAGGTGGAGGAGAAATGTGCGCGCCCAGGTCAACACAAGTATAAAATCAAAACATGACCTAATAAGAGACTTTCCCAACACGCACAAATAAGGCGGAGAGGTCTCTGAGAGCCGCTTGCTTGCTGAGCTGATATCCTGCTGATACCCACTGCATCCGTGCATCCAGTCTCTTTTACATTTCTCCCCGTATGCTCTCGGCCCCCATTTTATCGTTTGCACAAATCTCTTTGTCAAACCGTCGCTTTGAGGATGGTACAGCGACGTACGTTTGTGGGTGATGCCACTCTCTTTCAGCAGCTTCTCGAACTCTCCTAAGAACTCCATTCCCTGATCAGTCGGCACTTCTACGCAGGCCCCAAACCTCGTCAGTACTTGCTCCTCAAAGGCTTCAGCCATTCTTGCTGAGTTTTTGCTCGGCAACGCCTTTACTTGCACCCACTTGCTGCCGTGTTTAGTCATGATGAGGATATAATTCTTCCCTCTTTGTCTTAGTGGCATTTCTCCAGCCAAGTCCTGGGACCACCTGAACTCTAACCCTTTGATCGGCAACGACTGCAGCTCTTCTCTTCCTCTCTCCTACTCAGCATTGTTCCTGCTGCAGAACTCGTATGCGAGCACCCATTCCTTAAGCTCTCTTCCCATGCTTGCCCACCACCAGCCCGTCTCCACTAGCTGGCTCGTCCTCAGGCTTCTGTAATGCCCTAGCTACCTTTGTACTTTCGTAATTATCCCCTCCTTCTCTTCTTTCTTGGAGACCACCTTCCATCCATCTTTAGTGCTTTTCTGCAGCTGCTCCTGGTACCACCGGTAGTGTGCTCCTCCCACTTCGCCCCTCTCACTGGCTGGCTTTGCTTGGGTGGTCTTCCCTTGTATCCATACGTCTTCTGGTCCCTTGCTTTGCTTCTCCCCACTGCCAGGCTTGCTCTTCCCTCAGCAGCTACGGCTGCTTATATGATGTATACTATATATGGACTGCACTTATTTTATCAAGACTTTATTAATTATACGACTTAGGTTGGGCACGATTTTCCTTTTGTAATTGAAGAAGCCCAGGATGGCTCAGAGTGTGCTTCTGTCCTTGGGTGGTGGCACCCTATCCTGTACTTCCACCTTCGCCTGTTGGATACTCATCTTTCCCCCTTGCACCTCGAAGCCCCTTGGTGTTGCTCCTCTGATGTGCTAAAGATGACTACGTCATCGATGTAGCATGCGGCTGCCGGTACGTTTCTTAGTGCAGCGTCCATGGTGCACTGAAATAGCGCCAAGGCGTTCTTCATGCCAAACGGCATGAACTTTCATTCGTACAGGCCGTCAGGTCCATCAAATGCTGTCTTTTTAAAGTCCTTGGGCCGGATCAGTATCCAATTGAAGCCATGTTTCAAATCCAGGGTTGTGAACACGGTTGCACCTTGTAGCTTGCTAAATATTTCCTCAGCTAATTACATCGGGTACCTATCCACCACTGTCACTTTGTTAAGCCCGCGGTAATCTCTGCACATTCTTTTGGCCGTCGTTTCTCCTGTCAGGTCTTTCCTTGCTATGGGAGCCAAGCAAGCGCTGACAGTCAGCCGAGCATAGTGAACGCTTCTGCTTTAGGTGATACCAGGAGTATTTCATTGGAAACACTGAAGGGAGGGTTCTAAGGGAAACCTGAAAGAAAGAACAAGGATAGGGAGAAGGAGGGTAAGAGGAGAGACATGCTTGGATCCGGTACACAGGTGAGTAATTCCCGACAAGGGAAGGAGACAATCAACAGAATGAGAGGGCAACATCAAGGCAGCCTGAACTTGATGGAAGGAACAAAGGGAGCAGGAGAGGAAAGGACAAAGGGGAAGAAGCAAGATAGAAGATATTATGTAGGAGAAGGCCCATGGCATCCAGCACATCATTGGGCCACAAGTTCAACTGGTGCATGACATAGCGGACTGCAAGAGGCCAAGGGAACTAGGGGGCACCAGCATGGAACATGGAGGTCCGCACAACCTCCATGACCAGGCCGATGCGTCTCTCAACGACCTCGTTCTGGTGCGGCGTGTCTGGTAGCACGAAAGACTGGTTAATCCCCTGACCTTGACAGAACACCTCCAGGCGAGTGGACGCAAACTCACCACCACAGTCCGAGTGTAGTCGAAGATAACGAAGGCCCTGGGTGCTACCCCTTGGGTGCTACCTGGGTCGGCACT